GTTCAACGATGAGAAATTTCAATTACTCAGATATGGTAAACATGAGGAAATTAAATCTTCATCAGAGTACAAAACAAATTCTGGCCACAAAATAGAGCGAAAACACCAACGTCAAAGACCTAGGAGTGATTATGTCGGAGGATCTCACCTTCAAGGACCATAACATTGTATCAATCGCATCTGCTAGGAAAATGACAGGATGGATAATGAGAACCTTCAAAACTAGGGAGGCCAAGCCCATGATGACACTCTTCAGGTCACTTGTTCTATCTAGGCTGGAATATTGCTGCACTCTAACAGCACCTTTCAAGGCAGGTGAAATTGCCGACCTAGAAAATGTACAGAGAACTTTCACGGCGCGCATAACGAGATAAAACACCTCAATTACTGGGAGCGCTTGAGGTTTCTAAACCTGTATTCCCTGGAACGCAGGAGGGAGAGATACATGATTATATACACCTGGAAAATCCTAGAGGGACTAGTACCAAACTTGCACACGAAAATCACTCACTACGAAAGCAAAAGACTTGGCAGACGATGCACAATCCCCCCAATGAAAAGCAGGGGTGTCACTAGCACGTTAAGAGACCATACAATAAGTGTCAGGGGCCCGAGACTGTTCAACTGCCTCCCAGCACACATAAGGGGGATTACCAACAGACCCCTGGCAGTCTTCAAGCTGGCACTGGACAAGCACCTAAAGACAGTTCCTGATCAGCCGGGCTGTGGCTCGTACGTTGGTTTGCGTGCAGCCAGCAGCAACAGCCTGGTTGATCAGGCGCTGATCCACCAGGAGGCCTGGTCACAGACCGGGCCGCGGGGGCGTTGACCCCCGAAACTCTCTCCAGGTAAACTCCAGGTAAACAGTCGATGGCCTCCACTCCAAACCAACAGATACAGATACTAATGCCGGAAAAAAATATCCCCCCAGTACCAACAATACCACCAGTCCGATGACATTCTTCTTTGCAAATATACAGGGTCTAAAGCCAGCAACAAACAACAAAATACCTTTCATCCGTGGACTGCTTGCAGAGGCAAAGGCAATGTTCGCGGCTTTCACTGAGACCCACATGAAGGATCACTTGGACAACGAAATATGGATCCCAGGTTACAACCTATACAGATGTGACTGAACAGGCAAAAGGTGGGGGGGTTGGCCTGTACATTGCAGAGTCACTTGTTTGCACAGAACTGCTTAATGCCTCAAATGATGTAGTGGAAGTTTTAGCAGTAAAGGTCGAGAACCAAAACCTAGTCATTGTGGTAGTCTACAAGCCTCCGGATGCAACATCCCAGAAATTCCAGGAACAGCTGTTAAAAATTGACCACTGTCTGGAAAATCTTCCAGCTCCTACCCCCAACATCTTGCTCCTGGGGGATTTCGACTTAAGGCACTTAAAATGGAGGAATATAGCAAATAATATTGTTGCAGTAATAACACCAGGAGGCACCTCTGATGAAAACTCACACTCACACGAGCTTTTAAATCTCTGCACAAAATTCAATTTAAACCAGCAAATAATAGAGCCTACTAGACTGGAGAATACACTAGACCTCATCTTCACTAACAATGATGATCTGATAAGAAATGTCACCATATCAAAAACAATATACTCAGATCACAACATAATTGAGGTTCAGACCCGTATGCGTGGAGCCCCAGACCGACATAATGAGATTAGTCACGAGGGAGCATTCACCAAATTCAACTTCAATAACAAAAACATAAAGTGGAACCAAGTAAACCAAGTCCTAACCGATATAAGCTGGGAAGATATACTAAGCAACACAGACCCAAACTTATGCCTAGAATAGATTAACTTGGTGGCACTCGATGTATGCACAAGGCTTATTCCTCTAAGAAAAAGGAGGAGTAGATGTAAAATAGAAAGAGACAGGCGCTCCCTTTACAGGCGACGGAAAAGAATAACAGAGCGGCTAAAAGAGGTCAATATATCTGAAATGCGTAGGGAGACACTGGTCAGAGAAATAGCAAGCATCGAACTTATGCTAAAGGAATCTTATAGGAGTCAGGAATCGCGGGAAGAACTAAAAGCCATAAATGAAATCGAAAGAAACCCAAAGTATTTCTTCTCCTATGCCAAATCAAAGTCGAGAACAACGTCCAGTATTGGGCCCCTACTTAAACAAGATGGGTCCTACATACCTGGAGTTTACCTGGAGAGAGTTCCGGGGGTCAACGCCCCCGCGGCCCGGTCTGAGACCAGGCCTCCTGGTGGATCAGAGCCTGATCAACCAGGCTGTTGCTGCTGGCTGCACGCAAACCAACATACGAGCCACAGCCCGGCTGATCCGGAACTGACTTTAGGTGCTTGTCCAGTGCCAGCTTGAAGACTGCCAGGGGTCTGTTGGTAATCCCCCTTATGTGTGCTGGGAGGCAGTTGAACAGTCTCGGGCCCCTGACACTTATTGTATGGTCTCTTAACGTGCTAGTGACACCCCTGCTTTTCATTGGGGGGGATGGTGCATCGTCTGCCAAGTCTTTTGCTTTCGTAGTGGGTGATTTTCGTGTGCAAGTTCGGTACTAGTCCCTCTAGGATTTTCCAGGTGTATATAATCATGTATCTCTCCCTCCTGCGTTCCAGGGAATACAGGTTTAGGAACCTCAAGCGCTCCCAATAATTGAGGTGTTTTATCTCCGTTATGCGCGCCGTGAAAGTTCTCTGTACATTTTCTAGGTCGGCAATTTCACCTGCCTTGAAAGGTGCTGTTAGTGTGCAGCAATATTCCAGCCTAGATAGAACAAGTGACCTGAAGAGTGTCATCATGGGCTTGGCCTCCCTAGTTTTGAAGGTTCTCATTATCCATCCTGTCATTTTTCTAGCAGATGCGATTGATACAATGTTATGGTCCTTGAAGGTGAGATCCTCCGACATGATCACTCCCAGGTCTTTGACGTTGGTGTTTCGCTCTATTTTGTGGCCAAATTTGTTTTGTACTCTGATGAAGATTTAATTTCCTCATGTTTACCATATCTGAGTAATTGAAATTTCTCATCGTTGAACTTCATATTGTTTTCTGCAGCCCACTGAAAGATTTGGTTGATGTCTGCCTGGAGCTTTGCAGTGTCTGCAATGGAAGACACTGTCATGCAGATTCGGGTGTCATCTGCAAAGGAAGACACGGTGCTGTGGCTGACATCCTTGTCTATGTCGGATATAAGGATGAGGAACAAGATAGGAGTGAGTACTGTGCCTTGTGGAACAGAGCTTTTCACCGTAGCTGCCTCGGACTTTACTCTGTTGACGACTACTCTCTGTGTTCTGTTAGTGAGGAAATTATAGATCCATCGACCGACTTTTCCTGTTATTCCTTTAGCACGCATTTTGTGCGCTATTACGCCATGGTCACACTTGTCGAAGGCTTTTGCAAAGTCTGTATATGACAGCAAGGAAATGAGTGAGCTACTCAAGTCCCAATATGACTCAGTTTTTAGCAAGCCGCTAACCAGACTGAGAGTCGAAGATCAAAATGAATTTTTTATGAGAGAGCCACAAAATTTGGTTAACACAAGCCTATCCGATGTTATCCTGACGCCAAATGACTTCGAACAGGCGATAAATGACATGTTGATAAATTAGACACATGTGCAACTCTTGGGTATCTTTATTGAGGAAACGTTTCGCCACACAGTGGCTTCATCAGTCCATACGTAGGAGAAACTTGAAGAACAGGAGAAGAATGAGGTAATCAGTCCCTCAACCTTGAGTCGATGTGTTCAGTCCATCAATCTTGAATAGAATACGGCATATCAGCGGAGAAGCAGCTCATAAACCGTATGGCAGGAGAGGTGCAGCAGTCATAGGTCGTTTCACATTTGTTCAATGTGGAAGTAGGTCGTGCCCAAGAATTAGGCAAGCGAAGAATTCCTAAGTATTAAGATCCCAAGAAGTTGCAGTGTCTGACAGATTTGTAGATGAATGGTTCAGAGAACCGACATGTTGATAAATTAGACACATGTGCAACTCTTGGGTATCTTTATTGAGGAAACGTTTCGCCACACAGTGGCTTCATCAGTCCATACGTAGGAGAAACTTGAAGAACAGGAGAAGAATGAGGTAATCAGTCCCTCAACCTTGAGTCGATGTGTTCAGTCCATCAATCTTGAATAGAATACGGCATATCAGCGGAGAAGCAGCTCATAAACCGTATGGCAGGAGAGGTGCAGCAGTCATAGGTCGTGTCACATTTGTTCAATGTGGAAGTAGGTCGTGCCCAAGAATTAGGCAAGCGAAGAATTCCTAAGTATTAAGATCCCAAGAAGTTGCAGTGTCTGACAGATTTGTAGATGAATGGTTCAGAGAACCGACATGTTGATAAATTAGACACATGTTTTATCTCCGTTATGCGCGCCATGAAGGTTCTCTGTACATTTTCTACGTCAGCATTTCACCTGCCTTGAAAGGTGCTGTTAGTGTGCAGCAATATTCAAGCCTAGATAGAACAAGTGACCTGAAGAGTGTCATCATGGGCTTGGCATCCCTAGTTTTGGAGGTTCTCATTATCCATCCTGTCATTTTTCTAGCAGATGCGATTGATACAATGTTATGGTCCTTGAAGGTGACATCCTCCGACATGATCACTCCCAGGTCTTTGACGTTGGTGTTTCGCTCTATTTTGTGGCCAGAATTTGTTTTGTACTCTGATGAAGATTTAATTTCCTCGTGTTTACCATATCTGAGTAATTGAAATTTCTCATCGTTGAACTTCATATTGTTTTCTGCAGCCCACTGAAATATTTGGTTGATGTCCGCCTGGAGCCTTGCAGTGTCTGCAATTGCAGCAAGCGATGCATAACTCATACGGGTTTATCGCCTTTTGCTTATACTGCTACTACGATAGTAGTAGCAGTACTATAATAAAAATTATTATAATTATATTATTATTAACAATAATAGAAAATATATGTATAGATTTATAGCTATTGCCCTTGGGATATGTTTGTTGAAATTCTACATTGTATTTGCTTAATTAAGGTGAATGTGGAAGTGTTGGACCTTCACCTGAACCAGCTGAGTGAGCTTCCTTCTGAGAGTGTGTCAACACTGAGTAACTTACACACGCTGCACTTATACTGGAACTCCTTGGTCAACCTGCCACTCCTCACTCACAACTTGCACCTACAGGAACTCCTCGTCAATGGCAACGCTCTCCTCGAGTTTCCTAAATACATGTTTGGAAATCTCACCCAACCACTCACTTACCACTTTGTTGTAAGTTCCTCTTATTACCCTCATTAATAATAATTCATTGTTGCTCTGTTTCTCTTCAGTTCAAGAGGCGGGGAAAGAGGGGGGATTGGGGAGTGCCATGATGCTTTTGAAGGGCTCTTGATCCAAAGAATGTAAGCTGGTGTCCCCTTCCTTGGATCAACATCGATCATCTCATATTTCCTAGGCGCTGTCCTACCTGTAGGGGCTTAACCCATGTGCATGAATATCATAAGATTACTCTTCATTAGTATTGAGTACATCTTCAGCCAGATCCAATTGTCTCTATTCACTTTAGGCAGATGTAGCTGATATTTAGGATTTGTCATGACGATAAAATCATTTTAAGGAGTAAAAACAACACTATTAAACTGGTTGAGACAAGAAACAGGAAATACTGCGGTGGCCATCCTGGCCAACTGGTGAAGAGTTAAGGGTGAGGACCACACTGACTCCACTGTTTACTCCAGTACATGTTTTTTTTTTCAGCCTTCATAACAAGTTATGTAATACAGACACAAATGCACGCATGTCTTTATTATTTTGTATGTTTAGCATATAATAATTCTTGTGATTTAAATGGTATGTACGCAGGACAACCCGGCATATGACGTGTGGGCGACAATGTTGCTGCCGCTGCCTGAGAGAAGCCACATCATGATGGGGAATGATGTGTGGGTGTGGGCAGAGGATGACCAACAAGCACTGCAGCTACTGTACCAAGCACAGTCTTGGGTCATACTTGATGGGCTCTCAGAGCCTATAGACCTGACCTCGTTGCTCAGGATCTGTGGCGTCACATACACCCGACACAGAGGCAACCTTCCTCCATGTTAATTTGAGAAACTCAAGTTCTGCTTGAGTCATGTACTGAGCAACATGCTAAATTGTAAGAAAATCAAGACCTCTGGAAACATTAAAGTGTTAAGCAAGAACTGTTTTTGCAATGTAAAGTATTTAATGACTTTGATAAAAAGCTTAAAATTACGATTAACATTATATGTATCCTTGTTCTTTTGTCTCTAAGAGCATATTCATGGAAAACATTCATTGACTCAATTGTCTTGGTATTGATATTGCGCTAAATTTTATTTCTGTATTAAACTAAAATTGAATTTGAATCTTGGTGGTATTTTTTCTTCCTTGGTCCCAGGAACTGGCGATACCCTAGGTCTTTTATTCAGATCAAACATACATGCAGTAGTTATACTATATCCATCCTGTGATCGATGAGGTATAGGAAAAACACCCCTCAAAGAAGGTTCCTTGATGCTGTTGATGGGCTTTTCATCTAGGGAATTTGATCTGTGCTTCAGTTCCCTGAATTGAATCTGAATACCTTCCATCTCCCCCACATGCGCTCCCCATGATTATAATTATAAATTATCGAAAAAAAAAAACAATTGGAGAAACTAGAGAGAAAAGCGACAATTTCCCCAATAATCAACGGCAGTTACCACATGTTCATTGAGAAATAGTAGATAGGCCTGAGCCTAAAGGCCGAAGCTTTGCCAGGACTGAAGCTGCTACCTGCTGATCAAAAGTGTTGTCTAGTGAATTACTAAAACATAATTCATGGGACAAGTGAATCAAGACGGATTCAAATAACGTCACGCGTAAAATGTTTGGACTGCATGAACTGTATCATGCTAGGAAATAACAGTTTTTCCTGCCACCCTGACAGATAAGCAGCTTCTGATGTTAGTATGCTCATATCCAACCAAGAAACTAATGTAAAATCCTCAAATTCGATAAATTTCTAAAATCAATGTTCTGGGGCGCATAGCCTTAGGACAAAGAATAATACAGAATCACACAAACTATCTACGCCAATGACTCCCTTAACCCTGACAGTGTTAGCTAAATGGACACAGATGCAACGAATATGACAGTGGCAAACGTTGCCACAATAAAATGTCACGTTAGTTGCATCTATGTCCATTTACTAACATTTTGTCGGTAATTCTACCCTTATTGCTAACCCTGACAATGGGAGGGGGGGAAGTGCTGTTATTGTAAACTAGCCCGAGGGGTTAGTTTAATATATTTATTATGCACCCCATACCCATCCTGTGGGCGGTAGTCAAAAGATTGCAGAGGTTCATATTGGGTCCGATTCCTAGGGGTTCGATTCCCCGGCAGAGAATCGAACCCCGGTCGGGGTCATTACGATTTCGTGAGTCACAGAGGTGTATGATAATTAATATATGGGCTTCCACCTTCCAAACTCGGTAGTATAGTGGTGAATATTGTCACGCAGGAGACCGGGGTTCGATTCTCTGCTGGGGAATCGAACCCTCGAATAAACTTACTTATCATATGGCTGTAAACGGTATTCCATTTAACCCGAAGAAGTTGTAAACTACCTGAACTTAAAAAAAAAACTCACTGTGACATTGTCCTAGGGCTGCTACTGCTAGAGGACTGTAAGATAATGTTACATCGCCTGGTACATCACATTAAGGTACATCACTTGCACAAACTCCGACACTCGACGAGTCCTCATTTGCCAAAAACCCGTGTCAGGCCATCGTTCCTGGCGAATATATTATTATCAGCCAATAATATAGCATAATTAATATTAATTTTTAGAGGGGTGGAACGGTAAACCAGCTGAAAACCTCAGTCAGATGACCGAAAACTTCAGTATCGGGTCACTATATAAATGATTTAGACTCGCGTCAGGACATAACTGACCTGTTTCCTCACAAATCTTACCTCACCTTCTAGCATTTAGTGTGACTTGTTAATGGTCCAGGTCGGATCGTAACGTTATATTTTTTTACCTTCCTAAGTGTGAGTTATTTGTTTATTGTTCTAACTAATGTATTTTAAATTTTTATTCTTTGTTAAACAGTTTGTAATAGCCAAACCATACCACGGGTAGGGTTTGAACCCGCGGTCTGAGAGTCTCAAAACTCCAGACCGTCGCGTTTACAATAATGTCATTACGATTTCGTGAGTCATGTTAATTTGTAATAAACGTTTGTAATGGTTATTGCATAAGTTGTTCAAATACAAATACTAATCTGTATTTCAAGGATGTTGCTTTAATGCCGATGGACAACTGTTGATCCTAAGAACCTGGGATCAAACTTGATCATCGGTCCATTATGTGTCCTCAGAACCATTACATAAATTTATACTCACACAGTGAGTTAATTAGCTGTTTTAACTTTTAAATAATAAGATAATACAAGGACCCCAATGAAAATAAGTCACTGATTTTTTGTGTTACCTTGGTGGGTAATTTACACTATTTATGATAATTGTACTTATGTGTACCTGTCTAAGTAAACTTACTTACTGCTAATTGTTAAACATTTTCTTAGGTATCTTGACTAAAGATAATTCTATCTTATTTAAGGATAAATAAAAGATATTAGTATTACAATATAAATTTCATGGGAAAGCGCTAAACAATTAAGCGTCAGGCAGCTCCTGGGGAGAGGGTGTAACAAGTTTTGATCCAAGGATTAGGAGTGTAGCTCCAATTCCTTGAATCAAGACCCCTTCATCTGCATCAAGGCACACCATTTAAAGGCTTAATAAAGGTTATATTATAAGTAATACAGTGTGGCGGCCGCCGCCGCTGCTTCACTTATTGTTAAGAAGAACCGCGAGAAACAGCAGCAGCAGCAGTCATGGTCAGTTAACATCTTAAATCACTAATATTAACACTTTTCAGCTCACATTCCTTCCATATTGCTAACTGACTTGTATCTGTATATTACTACTTTTTTGTAATTAATATGTATTGTTAATTATGCTATCTGAGTTTAGATATATTTGGAAATGAACTTCGTTATTATGTCCTGTTACTGATCATATTCATGAAGTGGTAAAAATAATAATTGTTTATACAAATTATATAACTGATACAGACCTAGATGATGTTATTGGCATATTTTATAGAAAGTTTCTGGTTATGAAGAATATTTCAGTCAAAGTTTATCTTGTACCCCGGGATGCGACTCAAACCAGTCGACTAACACCTAGGTACCTACTTACTGCTAGGTGAACACTAACAACAGGTGTTAAGTGACTAATACCCAAGTACCTACTTATTGCTAGGTGAACACTAACAACAGGTGTTAAGTGACTAATACCCAAGTACCTACTTACTGCTAGGTGAACACTAACAAACAGGTGTTAAGTGACTAATACCCAAGTACCTACTTACTGCTAGGTGAACACTAACAACAGGTGTTAAGTGACTAATACCCAAGTACCTACTTACTGCTAGGTGAACACTAACAACAGGTGTTAAGTGACTAATACCTAAGTACCTACTTATTGCTAGGGGGACTAGTATCAAACTTGCACACGAAAATCACTTCCCATGAAAGCAAAAGACTTGGCAGAGGGTACAACATCCCCCCAATGAAAAGCAGGGGTGCCACTAGCATGATAAGAGACAGCACAATAAGTGTCAGGGGCCCAAGACTGTTCAACTGCCTCCCAGCATACATAAGAGGGATTACCAATAGACCCCTGCCTGTCTTCAAGCAGGCACTGGACAGGCACCTGGTCAGTACCTGACCAGCCAGTCTGTGGTTCATATGTTGTATTATGTGCAGCCAGCAGTAACAGCCTGGTTGATCAGGCTCTGGTCCACAATGAGGCCTGGTCACAGACCAGGCCGCAGGGGTGTTGACCCCCGGAACTCTCTCCAGGTATATTCCACGTGTCTAAGAGAATTATCATCAGCCCCAAGGAGAAGGCAACCATCTACACCATTGGTGAGATGGCAAGATATTTCTCCATGTGTATATGAAAACATGTGCTTGCCACATCAGTGACTGTAAAATATGGCACTGGCCAGAGATATAAAAAAACATTAAACTTTAAGATAAGATAAGATAAGATTTCGTTCGGATTTTTAACCCCGGAGGGTTAGCCACCCAGGATAACCCAAGAAAGTCAGTGCGTCATCGAGGACTGTCTAACTTATTTCCATTGGGGTCCTTAATCTTGTCCCCCAGGATGCGACCCACACCAGTCGACTAACACCCAGGTACCTATTTGCTGCTAGGTGAACAGGACAACAGGTGTAAGGAAACGTGTCGAAATGTTTCCACCCGCCGGGAATCGAACCCGGGCCCTCCGTGTGTGAAGCGGGAGCTTTAGCCACCAGGCCACCGGGCCTGGTGGCCCGGTTAGCTTAAGGAATCATGCAGGAGCCAAGAAACACAGGAAGAACTCAAAGCCATAAATGATATTGAAAAAAATATCCTTTCTTATGCCAAATCTAGGGCAAAAACCCTATGCAGTATTAGACCCCTGATTAAATGAGATGGGACTTAGATGACAGCAGAGAAATGAGTGAGATACTGAAGTCCCAATATGACTCGGTGTTTAGTGAGCCATTAATCAGACTAGGGGTCGACAACCTACATGAATTTTTTATGACCTATACTCAAAATATGCTTAATTTAAGAATTTTGGATATAACCCTAACACCACAGAACTTGGAAAAAGCAATAAATGACACACCCATGCACTGCCCCAGGCCCAGACTCGTGGAACTCCATGTTCATCAAGAACTGCAAGAAGCCCCTTTCACATGCCTTAAGTATTCAGTGGAGAGGGAATATAGACACTGGTCATCCCACAGTCACTAAAAACATCAGATATAACCCCATTCAAGATTAATAAGGCAACAGTATGAGTAATTTTGTACCTATAGTCACTTAGGTGAGTGTAATTTTAAATTTAGGAGTTTACAATGAATACAAGAGAATTGAATATTCTGCTAGTTCATGCTGTATGATTTTAATAAGTTTGATAGAGAGGAATTACAGGCTTGATTATTATAAAAATCTCTGAAAGGATTCTAAGAAGCAAGATTGCCAACCACCTGGATACCCATCAATTGCACAACCCAAGGCAGCATGGGTTTAGAGCAGGTCGTTCCTGCTTCTCACAACTGATGGACCACTTTGACATGGTCTTGGATGCACTGGAGGACAAACAAAATGCAGATGTAGTATACACAGGCAAAATGCGTGGTGAAGGAATAACAGGAAAAGTAGGCAGATGGATCTATAACTTCCTAACAAATAAAACACAAAGAGTAATAATAAACAGAGTAAAGTCAAAGGAGGCTACAATGAAAAGCTCTGTTCTGCAAGGTACAGTACACACTCCCATCCTTTTTCTCATCCTCATATCTGACATAGACAGAGATGTAAGCCACAGCACCATGTCCTTTGCTGATGATACCAGAATTTGTATGATAGTGTCATCCATTGAGGACACTGCAAATCTCCAAATGGACATAAACCAAGTTTTTAAATGAGTTTCAGAAAAACATGAAGTTCAATGAAGACAAATTTCAGTTACTCCACTATGGAAAACTCTAGGAAATAAAATCTGTATCAGTGTATAAATCAAATTCAAATCATACAATAGAGTAAAAAACTAACATAAAGGACCTGGGAGTGATAATGTCAGAGAGTCTCATTTTCAAATATCACTACAGTGTATCTACTGCATCTGCTAGGAAAATGATGGGAGGGATAATGAGACCCTTGAAAACTAGGGATGCCAAGTCAATGATGATGATTCTCCAATTGCTTGTTCTCTCTAGGCTAGAATGTTGCTGTACACTATCAGCCCCTTTCAAGGCAGGCAAAATTGCAGACCTGTAGAATGTACAGAGAACTTTCATTGCATTTATAAGTACAATAAAGCACCTAAATTACTGGGAATGGTTGAAGTCCCTTGAGCTGTACTCCTTGGAATGCAGGCGAGAACGATACATGATGATATACACTTGGAAAATCTTAGAGATACTAGTCCCAAACCTACATACAGAAATTACTGCCTATGAAAAGAAAAGATTTGGCAGGCGGTGCAACATCCTCTCAATGAAAAGCAGGGACCCCATGAGTACACTAGGAAACAACACACTGTCAGGTGCCCAAGACTGTTCAACTGCCTCCCAGCATACATAAGGGGGATTACCAAAAACCCTCGGCTGTCTTCAAGAGGGAACTGGTTGGACGCCTAAAGTCAATATCTGACGAGCTGGACTGTGGTTCGTGTGTCGATTTTCATTCAGCCAGCAGTAACAGCCTGATTCATCAGGCCCTGATCCACTTTGATGCCTGGTCATGGACCAGGCCACGGGGGCATTGACCCCCCAGAACACACTCCAGGTATGCTTCAGATAGCTTAAGTAATCTGTAAGGTTTGTTGTAATATTTTTGCTACCTCTCTTTTTGTAATAATACATCATTAGAATTTACCATTCAGTAACCTTTGTCTAATCTTAAGTAGTCTGTAAGGATTAGGATTAATCTGCCTGCAGTGCACATGCATGAGTAATATTTTTTTACATGTAAACTACACATTGTATACTACACAAAGAAATAAAGTTAGTTTGTCTGTGTTTTACCTCGGGTGTTCTGTAGTTTGATTGCAAGTGCACTTGGCTCGCACGTCCTTCCTTTTCTTTGATCAAGTTTGATTTCTCGCCCTTTCCCCATTCCCCATATGACCCCTATGGATTTAATGCTCCTCATAAATAAAATAAAATAAGCAGTGCTGCCTAGATTATTTAAACAGTTGATATGGAAGGTGTGTGGAAAACAAAAGGCTTATGCGAGACCTACATCCATGTCTTATAACCAATTATTGATTCAAGTAAAATCCTTCATGCCATTTTTATTTGAAAATTTCAGGATATACGACGATATTTTCAAAAAACTGGCAGCAAAAAGACTGGAGATCCTGTAAGTACATCCAAAGAAACTAAGAAGAGGAATGTGATTGTTGACTCTGATGAGGATGACCCACTTCCTCCAGTCAGCAAGAGAAAGCAAATTGTAGACTCAGATTCAGGTAAGTTATTTTTCATAAATACATAAAACTGTTTTTTTAATAAACAAAATTTTTTTTATTGACCAACAGTTTCTTTTTGCATACTTTTTAAGAACCTCTGAATCTAGCTAGAATATAAGTTGAAGTAGTTTTATGAGTACTTCCTCATAGCATGCTTTCTCACTGTCCTGGTTTTCATCCTCACCAGCTAAACTTTCTGCAGCAGAACAACAAGTAACAGATCTCCTGCAAGATAATGGTGATGGAAGTGTTGGAAGGAGGGATAGGGGTAACCTCAAGAAAGGCTTAGAGAGTGGGGTAAAGGTTTTGAGTGCTATGGACTTGAATGTCCAACAGGCTTGTTTGAGAGCATTCATATTCATATTCATATAGTTTATTTGGACATAATTCATAGTTGTACAAGGAATTGTAGTAGTTGGGTGTACATGCCAAAAGCACCTTGTATGCAGAGCATTATGGGCAGGCAATGTGAATATAGACAGACTTTATCTTATATGCTGCAATTTTTGAATAAGCAGTATATGCTATTTCTATTTTTTTTTATTTTTGGAAACCTTGCTAAGCTGCTGTTTGCTATATGAAATACACTTGTTGATAATCATAATACATTCTATATAGTTGGGAAAAGGGCATTGTGGTAAAGTAAATACAGTATATACAGTAAACAGATGAATATATACCTAAGTAAGATAGGATCCTTACTTTAAAATATTTATCCTTATTTTACTGTATTTTTTATCATTTTTTGATCACATTGAATTGATTTATCCACATATTTTGATGACCCATATAATCTATATACTCTTGCTTTTTTATTATTTATTTTTTTTCACAATGCAGATGATGATTTATTCAAAGCTACAGACAAGAAGCTCAAGAAAGAAGAAAAGATCAAGCACAAGTCTTTATTAAAACCAGAAACTCCTAAATTAAAGCCTGTAGCTGCTGCGGAGTTTTTTGGCAAGACACCAGTTACTAAGAAGGAGCAAGAAAATGTACCAGTCAAGAGAAAAAAGGTAAGAGGTTAATTGTAAATAATGAAACAGGGGAAACAGTCATTTCAGGGAAACAGATTATTCCTTCATGTAAACAAGCACTGTGGCTTTTAAATTGTCTGTCTTTTTATTGGTTCCCACCTCTTGTAACCATAGAGGACATCTCCACACAAGACCATTGTTTACTGCAAGGCCTCACTTTGTTGTGACAAAGAGGCTCATGATACAAAGAATTGAAATTGTTTATTCATGATCAGTTAAATGAAGTAGCAGCTGTTGATTCTGTATCTGAATTGTCTCCTTTGTCCTATGGCATTCCTGAGGGCTTTTCTTGGACCAGTATTGTTTACTGTTTGTGTTAGTGCTTAGCCTTGCTCTTGGATGCCCATGGGATTGACTATTATTTCTATACTGACAGTATGTAAGTCAACATCAGGGTTCTAAAAGTGGAAGATGCAAAACTGAATATTCAATCTGATGACAAAATTGAAACTAATTGATGGTGAGACAAATTTTAAGGGTCAGAGTAAACTTGAGAGGAGTATGGATTGGAGATTTTGGTGACTCTTAATGTAATACTGTCAGTTTGCAGCCTGGGGATCAGTGAGGAATCTGGGTGTTTACCTGATTCTTCATTGTCATTTGTTGGACACATCAACCAAATTGTTAAATCTTTCAGTTTTCATATTTGCAATCTCTGCAGTCAGACAATATCTTGAGAAGCAGAATACTATCTTGGTCCTTAACCACACATTTGTTTCTTCTCAAATTGTTTTTTGCAATTTTTAGTGAATTTACTTAACTACATGCTAAAAAAGACTTCAGTCTGTATGGAATCATGCAGCTAGACTGGTATTTCCACTCCCAGCTGGGGTCCTGACTAGTCTCTAGTTGTATGAGCTGCATTGGCTCCATGTCAAAGCAAGAATTGGATTTAAAGGCTGTTTATTAGCATTTAGTGCTAATATCTTGCTGATATGCTTATGCCTTTTACATGGGAATGTTTCTGCAAATTGCCATTGACCCTTTTAGAATGATAAAGCCGTGTGCTGTTGGAGAACAATTATTCACAGAAAGAGCCTTTTTCTTTTGTCTCTCCTAGATTGTTCAACAGGTTGTCAGTGTCTGTTTAGTCAGAAATCTGTTCATGCTTTAAAGCTCGTTAAAAATATACACTGCTGAGAAAATTTCAGTTCTCTATCTTGTTAGCCTTGATACTACAACAGTCCTTATGAATAGTTAGCCATTGAACTGGATTTTTTTTTTTTTATATGTACTATAGTGTATTCAGATTTCTGAATCGTGCATTTTCCTGCTTTGGTATGCTCACCTGGCACTACTCTGCTGCCACCCTTTTCAGTTGGGGTGCCTTGATGAAGCTCTCTTGATCTAGGGAACTGGAGCTGCCCTTCCTTTCCTTAGATCAAACCTGATTGCAATCCATTTCCTTGGGTGCTGTATGATGTTAATGGGCTTAGCCCATTTTATGAATATAAAATAATTTTGTTGTAATCAATTGGGTAAATAATGTTGTTATTCTTCAAGTTGTCTAATTTTTTGTTTTGTGTATTTTCATTGTGATTGTTGTGATATTTAGTATTACTATTTGTGTATTTTTTTAAAATTATTGAAAAATAGTGTTCTTTCTGTTTCAGAATGATGACATCAAGGAATGTCACAGTGATGATGAATTTGAGAAAACACTCCAACAGCTCGATCATCCACATCTGCCCAAGAAACAGAAGCGTGAAAACAAAATGTTTTCACCTAAGGAAGAAAAACCTAAATCAGAAGAAGACAATCAGAGGCCTCGACAGCAAGGACTGTCCACTAAATTATCTGAAAAATTTAAGCAGTTTGAGTGCAAACAAGAAACTTTTAAAGAGAAAACCCCTAAGAAGAATCATAATAAAAAAGAATACAAAGAAAGATTGCAGAATTTTGAAAGTACAACACAAACTTCTTCTGAAAAAGACATGAAATTAAAAATAAAACACAGTGAGAGTTCAATGAAGGATGAAGAATCAGCAACTAAAAGAGAAAAAACAAGTAAGCATGATACAGCCAAAAGAGAAAGGATTGGTGAAGAAAAGACAATTAAAAAGGGAGAAAATATAATTAAAGAAAATTTATCACCCATTAGAGAAAGAAAAATATCTCCCAAGAAAGACAGGAATGATTCATGTGTTGAGAAAAAAGAGGAAGGAAAGAAAGTAACACCAGCAAAATCAGAGAATACTAAAGTGGCTGGAGAAACTGGCACCACTCCACAAGATGACAAGAAAAAACAAGCCAGGGTGGCTTACCTGAAGTTTCTCCAGAGATCTGGGCCAGCCAACCCAGGAAGTAAACCTATCCCAGAGGTGTGTTTTTTTTTTTTTTTTACCATCTCGCAGACCCTAAGAAGTAAACTTTTTTTTTTTTTTTTAATGCACCGGCCATCTCTCACCAAGGCAGGGTGACCTAAAAGGAAAAACTTGTGTTTTTCTTTTTACATTTAGTAATTTATACAGGAGAAGAGGTTACTAGCCTCTTGCTCCCTGCATTTTAGTTGCCTCTTATGACACGCATGGCTTATGGAGGAAGGATTCTTTTCCACTCCCCTACTTAGTCCCTAGCTGTCTTTCTAGAAAAGCATGGACATTACCATTCAGATAATCCAACAAGCCTCAGCATTCCCACTCATTTTTCAGAATGCAGGCACTGTAATTAACACATTCAGAACTCACCTTGGATAAATAGTTATCCTGAATCCTCTCATAAATGTTAACTTTCTCTCCAACAGCATGTCAAATCTCAAAATCCATTTATTTCTAGTTACTCTGATCTAACATACTGACACTTACACCTGTTGAATGCTGAAGCATTATGTTCAAACTAATTTTCAGGATTTGACATTGCTTAAATGGTATACAGTATGTAATGAATTTTGGATTTTCTTTGCCCAATGAAGGCAACCTATCCTCTTAATACAACAAACCCATCAGCTGATGCATCCATTCCCAGGTATTGTCTAAATACAATGACTTCCTCTATACTCCTTTTTGTGCTGATCTTAATTTTTTCATTCCCTGCACTTTTTTCTCATTACCATACTTTTTTTCTGCATCACTTATTAGCTTTTATATTTAATATATGTAAACACTGTTCTTTCAACAAACTGGCCGTATTCCACCGAGGCAGGGTGGCCCAAAAAGAAAAACGAAAGTTTCTCTTTTCAAATTTAGTAATTTATACAGGAGAAGGGGTTACTAGCCCCTTGCTCCCGGCATTTTAGTCACCTCTTACAACACGCATGGCTTATGGAGGAAGAATTCTGCTCCACTTCCTCCATGGAGATAAGAGGAAATAAACAAGAACAAGAACAGAAAGAAAATAGAAGATAACCCAGAGGGATGTGTATATATATGCTTGTACATGTATGTGTAGTGTGACCTAAGTGTAAGAAGAAGTAGCAAGACGTACCTGAAATCTCGCATGTTTATGAGACAAAAAAGACACCAGAAATCCTACCATCATGTAAAACAATTACAGGTTTCCGGTTTACAGTCATTTGGCAGGACGGTAGTACCTCCCTGGGCGGTTGCTGTCTACCAACCTACTACCTAGGGTAAACACTGTTATTCACTTTAATATGCTTTAAATAATCCTCAGTCAATTCATACATACTTGTTTTTCAGACCTGTGACTGGTTTTGAGGGTTCCACCCTCACAGATTCTTAAGGCCTGATTTTTTGTTGACCGTCTGATGAACCAGGCTGTTGCTTCCAGTAGCTCAGGCCTGTATAGCCAATGCAACCTGGCACTTCTTGCAGAAATTAGTCCAGTTTTTGTGTGGCATCATTTACATTAGGGATGGAGCCTAGAAAGTGAATTTTTTTCTTTTTGTTGACAACCTTTACATAATTTTTTAAACATCATAAAACCAAGTTAGTTAGAGATCTCTTAACTGCTGTACTGCTTGTGAAATGGTACTATACCTGGGACTTCAGGTTATATATGGTGTACTCCTCAAGGAAGGTGCCTTAATACCAGTGAGGCTCTTGGTCCAAGGAATAGAGCCTATCCTCCTCATCCATGAATAAAACCTGATTTTTTCCATTTCCCTAGGCACTGTATGACCTTTAGTGGTTAAAAGCTTTCCCGCATGAATGTAAAATAATAATAATGCTAATAGCCTGGACAGTGGTGAAAGTGTTGAATGATGATTTTTTTTTTTTTTGTTTTTTTGTCACCCTGCCTTGGTGGGAAATAGTTGGCATGTTGAAAAAAAAATATCCTGGAGGCAGGAAGTAGTGTCTGCACTCTGAATGAGGGGTGTGGATGTTAGGGTTCCAAGGGTGATGTGAGTTGTGATGTCTGCACACTTCTAACAAGAATAAATGATGAATTTTTTTTTGGGGGGGGGGAGGGGGGGTCACCCTGGCATGGTGGGAGACAGCTAGTGTGTTAAAAAATATATGTTATAATATACTGTGTACATATAAAATTTAAAACAAACTTTGTGTAGGAGATATCATAAAAAGAGACTTTGTTTTATTACAGGGTCAACCAGGGTGTTTACAAGGCTTGGTGTTTGTGCTTAGTGGAGTGCTTGACAGTCTGGATCGAGAAGAAGCTGGTGAATTGGTGAAGAAGTATGGAGGCAAAGTTACCACCTCACTCAGTCGCAATACATCCTACTTGGTGCTCGGTGCAGAACCTGGGCAGAGTAAACTTAGCAAAGTAAGATTTTGTGTACCAATTTATATAAGATATTTGTGATTTGTTAGAAAAAATTTGAGATTGCTGAAAATTTCTGAAAAGAATTTTCAAAAGTGTGAATGTAGTTATTAATTCCGTTGCTCCTAATATTTTAGCCCTCTTTTTCATGCAGTATTATTTCATATTTTCTGGGTATCATTATGTGGGATAGCATGGTGTGAGGTCAGGTCTAAGGAGTAGTATGGTGTCATGTGATGCCTTGTCTGTGTTCCACTGTGGTGTGGAGTCAGGGACTATTGGCTCTAGTGTGGCATCCGGTTCTTGAGGCAGTGTGGTGTGGGGCCAAGTCTAGTGATATATATTCAGGAAAGAAGAATCAGTTGAGATTATTATAGTTCAGTACATTGAACTGATACATTATTTAGTATGAAAGATTGTTTAAGTATATATAATATTGTCTAGAATGTATCTAGAAAACTTCATATTTTCTAGGCTGAGCAGTTAGGCACAAAGCAGTTGGATGAAGATGGCCTTTTGGAATTAATACGTACTTTACCTGGCAAGGGACCCAGGCAAGATTCTACTAGGGAAGGTAGGCAATTTTTAAAGTTTTCACTAAACTAAAATCTAAAGGTTTATGAATGATATAGAATAAGGATGGCCAACCTTTTGCATTGTATGCGCCAATTTTTTTACGCTCTAGTTCAGATGCACCATATGACACTTGTATCCCCATTCAATTCTATAAAAATGTTAATAAGGACATATTTAGCATTTTTACATAAAATGATTTAATACAAAGACAAGATAAACATTACTTACTTTAACCCTTTGGGGGTCGGCAGGTCCTCTCAGAGACTTGTTCTCAGGGTCGGCCAAATTTAAAAAAAAAAAAAAAATTATTTTTTCTTATGAAAAGATAGAGAATCTTTTCCCGATCATAATGACACCAAAAGTATGAAATTTGATGGAAAACTTACGGAATTATGCTCTCACGAAGTTAACGGTCTCGACGATGTTTACGCATCGGCGATTTTGCCCACTTTGAGCCCTATTTTCGGCCAATTCCAGTGTACTAATTGACAAAAATCATAACTATTTCGCTAGAACTCCATTTTTTCTATCGAATGAGTACAAGAAACCACCTATTTACTGATTTCAACTATCCAATAAAGTGGTCAGAATTTAGCAATTTTGCCAATTTCACAAAAATTTCAAAAGATGTCAATTTCTGAATAGGGTCCAGAATAAACAAGAAAGACATTCCTGGCACTAAAATAACAAGTTCTCTGTTTGTTAGTCACATCCCCAGGCCCCTCTTATATTTCTTTGGCTTTCCACTTTGAATTTTTATTCTTACAAAAAAAATAAGATTTACTGTTATGCAGACTACTGCATTAGTATAGAAATGGTATGAATAATATCAGCGCACTTGTGAAAGAATATTAGACTCGCCAGTTGATGTCTGTTGGACGCTTGGCATGATTTGTTTACCTTTGAACTTTGGTAAAAATTGAACATTTCTGCTACTTTGAGCTCAATTTCAAGGTACTTTTCATTGTAAAACCAGTCAGAATCATCTCAATTTCTGTAATATGTCTTCTATTCTATAAAATGAGACCAAGAAAACTAGAATACAATAATAAATACCATATGAAAATACATTGCAAAGTCGCTGTTTTAATCCAAAAACACGGTCAAAGTTTTTTTTTTCTCATTACGCACTGTGTGCTGCAGGATTTTTTTTATACTGCACACAGTGACCACATAGACCCATTTTTTTCATATGTAGGCCTACCAGCTTTCTCTCACTAGATTTGAGGGCGCTAGAATTTAGGCGTACTAGTACGTCAAAAACCCTGGGTCGTAAGCCGTACTAGTACGTCCGAAACCCCCAAAGGGTTAGAGACTTTGAGTCTACTTTGATTTTGCCATGCTTGTAATGTTTGCAGTTAAATTAGTTACTGAGAGCAGCAGAGAATTCTTCAGATTTGAATCAGTCATGTGCAACCTCAGTTTATTTTTAATCCATATCATTGATGAAAATGCTTATTTTATTATTTATTTTTATTAACACACTGGCCGATTCCCACCAAGGCAGGGTGGCCCGAAAAAGAAAAACTTTCACCATCATTCACTCCATCACTGTCTTGCCAGAAGGGTGCTTTACACTACAGTTTTTAAACTGCAGCATTAACACCCCTCCTTCAGAGTGCAGGCACTGTACTTCCCATCTCCAGGACTCAAGTCCGGCCTGCCGGTTTCCCTGAACCCCTTCATAAATGTTACTTTGCTCACACTCCAACAGCACATCAAGTATTAAAAACCATTTGTCTCCATTCACTCCTATCAAACACGCTCACGCATGCCTGCTGGAAGTCCAAGCCCCTCGCACACAAAACCTCCTTTACCCCCTCCCTCCAACCTTTCCTAGGCCGACCCCTACCCGCCTTCCTTCCACTACAGACTGATACACTCTTGAAGTCATTCTGTTTTGCTTATTATCATAAAATACTTGTTTTACGTTGTTCCAAAATGACAGGTGTAACTCTGGGCAAATTTTCTGAGTTCTGAAAAATGTTCACAGGGTAATGATCAAAAAATATTAATTATGTCAGAAACATTTGGAACTGAGGGAGGCTCATCAAATTTCATTTTCAATAATGAAAATGTTTTATTTGTATGTTACTTGGCATCTTCAGGATTTTTTGTTCACTAAGTGAAAATGGGTTTATAAATGCAAGTATACAGTCTTCTTCTTTAATAAAATCACTAAAACAACTGTCAAATGACTTGCAATAATTTGATTTTTTGCAGTATATTCTGTAAAATTGCCATTATCTTCAGCGCATTCACTCTTTTAAATGTGGAAACTGGCTCAAATCGTCATTTTTTAACTGAGAGGTAAACAGCTTTAACATCATCTTGAATGCACTGGTAACATTTACTAAGCTAAGAAACAATTTGTTCTTGCCCTTCAGTTTCAAATTTAGATCATTGAGATGGCTGCTAACATTAGCTAAATATGCTAACTCAAATAGCCATTTATCACATAAAAAGGCTCTTTCCTCAGGCAGCTCATTCTTCTCTTCTATAAAATTATGAACATTATTTTTCAGTTTCCAAAATCTACTGGGAACCTCACAATGAAGGATGAGATCACTATATTCCAAATCTAATAATTCACAATATTCTGTGAATTCTCTTCTGTTTATCCTCTTTCTCTAATTTTGTTCTAACATTTCACAATGAGTAGTATAACATGCTGCAGATTTTAAGTTTTTCTACACACTGACTCTTGTGTATAATGCACTGATATTTTAGTTGAAGACGACTAAAAAGATTTAAAGCAATCCCAGCTGCTTTACTTATCATTGACAGTGCTCCATCAGCACAAACACTGATAAGTTTACTATAATCTAGTTGCAGATTTTCTAGGCTATGCCTAGATCATTAAATGTGTCTGATCCTCTTGTTTTTCCATGAAGCAACTCAAAACAGATAAGCTCTTCAAAGATGTTAAAATTATCAATTCCTCTTATAAAAAAGCTTAACTGGGCTACAACAAAAATGTCAGCAGATTTGTTCAGAGCAAAAAAAAAAGAAAAGAAAGTACAAGCATGGTCAAGGTCTTTCAGTTGCTCAGATACATGATGGGAAAGTTTTTTGGTGCGTCTTGTAACTGTTTGGTTTGACAGAGCTATTTTGTCTGCTTTTCTTTCAATATTTTTATCACTAAGACATCTTGCAAATATTTGGAGAAAAGTCTTAACAGTTTCTTTTCCATCAGAGAAATGTTTCTGTTTTTTAGCCAACACAAAGGGAATTTCATAGGACGCTTCTGTCATTGCCAGACTTTCACAACTTCTTTTAACAAATATATTTTGTCTTCTTTTTATTTCATCCTATTTTTTCTTAATCGCATGCTCTTTCTGTAACTCAGATCCGAGCCACGGGGGTGTTGAACCCCGGAACCCTCTCCAGGTAAACTAACCAGTTTTTCTTCTATTTCAGCCTGATGTTTTTTATAGTGTATTAAGATCATATCCTCTATTATCTGAAAGTGTGTTCTCACAAACAATGCACAATGGTTTTTCTGATGGGCCCGCAATAAATAAGAACTCATTTTCCCACTGTTCATTAAATTGACGCTTACTATCACTTTCTGCTTTTCTTTTGCTCATTTTTTTTTTTTTTTTTTTCACTGTGATGTGTAACTGACTGTAAAAGCAAAGCTTAAGTTTTAAAAAGTACAAAACTTTATTTGTTCATAAAGAGCGAAGCACAACTTTACCACACGAGTGACACTTGTAAACTGACTGGTAAAAATGTGCAACACACTGCTGCCACTGCTGGTGCCTCAAGATCAAACAAGTATCAAATGTGCACACTTATGGAATGACTCCTGTACAAACGTTCCTCTTTGTGTAATGTCTCTGATAAGGGCAGAGCACAAAGCATTTGAGTTATATAGTAACTCGGGGCAGAGCACAGAGCATTTGAGTTATATAGTAACTCAAATGCAGTGTGGGTGTTCCCTGCAGTTTGTTTCTAGTCTTATCTCACTGAATATTTTTTAACTGAAAACAGATTAATGTGAAAGATGACGACATTATCTAAATAATGTTCATGAAATAATAAAATCACTAAAAATGATTGCTAAGTTTTAGGTTTATTCTCAGTAAAACTCATTTCTAGCTGTAAGTTACTTGAATTTCTCTTATAAATTTTTCTACAAATCAGTTATTGGCTAATACTTTTTGTATGAGTAGGCTTGCTTTTTTATTATTAACACTGGGGTGCAATGCGCCACTTATAATGATGTGTGCCACTTTTGGTGCTTGTGCCATAGGTTGGCCATCCCTGATATAGAGTAATTAGTTTACAGAATGATATATGTCACCTAGTGGAATCCAAGAAGCAGCTACATTGATACCTTTAAGGAGGGTTTCCTTGATGCTGATGAAGGGCTCTTGAGCCAAGGAATAGGAGTTACTCTTCCCTTTTGCTGAAATCTGATTACGTGTCATTCCCAGGCACTCTATGACCTCTACAGGTTTAATACTTTCCCATGAATATAACTGATAATTCTATTTTTTAATTCACCATACTCACCTTCTCATGGGGCTGCAAGTTAATATTTTTATGCTTTAATAGGTAAAACTTCAAGCAAGTTGAAGGGTTTTGCCAGGGGTTCAGAGGAGGAATCACCAGGAGAATCAGCACTGCATAGTCATTCTTGTAAGACTTCTCTCAGTTCAGATTCTTCAGCCCTCTCCAATGGCATTACCAAAACACCAAGTCCAAAAAAATCTTTCTTATTGTTGGAAAGTTCATATACTTCTCAGGTAAGAAAGACTTAAACTATTGTCTATAATCTGGCATTGGGTAGGAATGACTACATTTTGGTACAGTGCCTGCACTCTAAAGGAGGTGTTGGGATATTTGCTATTTGGTGGGACATCTGAACTGTCATATCTGTGTGCCTCTGGCTAAACAATGATAGTGTAAACAATGGTAAAAGTGTTTCTGTTTTTGGATCACCCTACCTCAGTGGGAGATGGCCAGTGTGTAGGGTGATCCAAAAAAGAAACTTTCACCATCATTTACATTATCACTGTCTTGCCAGAGGCACATAAATATGATAGTTCAGATGTCCCTCCTAACAGCAAATATCCCCACCCCTCCTTCAGAGTGCAAGCACTGTACTTCCCACCTCCTGAACTCAAATCATGAATGAATGAAACATTGTGTACATGATATTAAAGGTTCTTATGCTTTCTTGAGCCTTTTTAGTACTAACTGTTGATGTTTGCCACAATTTCACACTTTGTTTTGATAATTTTGTGTTACGTTATTAAAGTTGCTATACATGCTTACTTTTCTTGTTGACAGGAAACTGGAAGTCCATCTTCCACCAGTTCATCTCCTAAGACACAGCTCCTTTCATCTCAAGAACTTTCCAAGCGACCAAGTGAAGGGCTCATGTGGGTGGACAAGTATAAACCATCATCAATAAAGAACATAATAGGACAGCAAGGAGATCGCTCTAATGTGAAAAAATTGTATACTTGGTTACAAAACTGGCAAAAGAATCAACTAAGTGATAAAAAACTAACCAGGCCCAGTAAGTTTTGTTTTATATGGGTATCCCTCTATGCCATAAATGTGTTTTGGCTCATGGAGCATATAGCTAACATTGGGACACATTCATGTCTAATGGTTAATAAGGGTGATAAATCTGGGGTGAAAGATATGAGGGGAAAGGGATCATCTAGGAATGGTTGGAGGGAGGAAGTATATATAAGAGGTTTTTTGAGCTTCATGCTGGTGAGGGGCTCTTGATCTAGGGAATTGGATATGTGCTCCAGTTCCCTGAATTGGGCTTGAATACCTTCCACATCCCCCTCACAGGTGCTGTATAATCCTATAGGTTTAGTGCTTCCCCCTTGATTATAATAATAATAATTTTTGAGCTTAAGGGGTTTGAGCATCCAGCAGGCTTGCATGAGCATTTTGGATAGTGAATGGAGAAAAGTGGATTTTAATGGACATGCTGTTGGAGTGTGAGCAAGGAAACTTTTACGAAGGGATTCAGGGGAAAACTGTTTACCCAGACCTGAGTCCTGAATGTGGGAAAGGGCAGTATTTGCACCACCACCTCTACCACCACCTCTACCACCACCACCACCACACCACCACTACCACCACCATCTCTACCACCAGCACGACTACTAGCACCACTACTACTACCACCACTACTACCACCACTACTACCACCACTACTACCACCACTGCTACCACCACTGCTACCACCACTACCATCACCACTACCATCACCACCACCATCACCACCACCACTACTATCACCACCACTACTATCACCACCACTACTATCACACCACTACTACCACCACCACTACTACCACCACCACTACCACCACCACTACCACCATTACTACCACCACTACCACCACCACTACCACCACCACTACCACCACCACTACCACCACCACTACCACCACCACTACCACCACCACTACCACCACCACTACCACCACCACTACCGCAGCTTAACAAGAGAGATGCTTCCATGGCGAGGTAACCACGTGCACTGAGCGAGTGACATGGGATGCTGCGCGGGTGTTGTGGCATTTGTTGTGCCAACTAGTGGCGGAATATCTGGTGCTTGCTTATAACTCAGATTTTGGCTCGCAACTCAAAGCAAAAATTCGACTCAACGATGGCTCGTAACTGAAAACTCTTAGTTGGTGCACTCGTAAGTCAAGGTACCACTGTATATATATATATATATATATATAATATATATATATATATATATATATATATATATATATATATATATATATATATATATATATATATATATATATATATATATATATATTTTCAACAAGTCGGCCGTCTCCCACCGAGGCAGGGTGACCCAAAAAAGAAAGAAAATCCCCAAAAAGAAAATACTTTCATCATCATTCAACACTTTCACCACACTGGCACATTATCACTGTTTTTGCAGAGGTGCTCAGAATACAACAGTCTAGAAGCATATACATATAAAGATACACAACATATATATTTATTTTATTATTTTTTATTATCACACTGGCCGATTCTCACCAAGGCAGGGTGGCCCGAAAAAGAAAAACTTTCACCATCATTCACTCCATCACTGTCTTGCCAGAAGGGTGCTTTACACTACAGTTTTTAAACTGCAACATTAACACCCCTCCTTCAGAGTGCAGGCACTGTACTTCCCATCTCCAGGACTCAAGTCCGGCCTGCCGGTTTCCCTGAATCCCTTCATAAATGTTACTTTGCTCACACTCCAACAGCACGTCAAGTATTAAAAACCATTTGTCTCCATTCACTCCTATCAAGCACGCTCACGAATGCCTGCTGGAAGTCCAAGCCCCTCGCACACAAAACCTCCTTTACCCCCTCCCTCCAACCCTTCCTAGGCCGACCCCTACCCCGCCTTCCTTCCACTACAGACTGATACACTCTTGAAGTCATTTTGTTTCGCTCCATTCTCTCTACATGTCCGAACCACCTCAACAACCCTTCCTCAGCCCTCTGGACAACAGTTTTGGTAATCCCGCACCTCCTCCTAACTTCCAAACTACGAATTCTCTGCATTATATTCACACCACACATTGCCCTCAGACATGACATCTCCACTGCCTCCAGCCTTCTCCTCGCTGCAACATTCATTACCACGCTTCACACCCATATAAGAGCGTTGGTAAAACTATACTCTCATACATTCCCCTCTTTGCCTCCAAGGACAAAGTTCTTTGTCTCCACAGACTCCTAAGTGCACCACTCACTCTTTTTTCCCTCATCAATTCTATGATTCACCTCATCTTTCATAGACCCATCCGCTGACACGTCCACTCCCAAATATCTGAATATGTTCACCTCCTCCATACTCTCTCCCTCCAATCTGATATCCAATCTTTCATCACCTAATCTTTTTGTTATCCTCATAACCTTACTCTTTCCTGTATTCACCTTTAATTTTCTTCTTTTGCACACCCTACCAAATTCATCCACCAATCTCTGCAACTTCTCTTCAGAATCTCCCAAGAGCACAGTGTCATCAGCAAAGAGCAGCTGTGACAACTCCCACTTTGTGTGTGATTCTTTATCTTTTAACTCCACGCCTCTTGTCAAGACCCTCGCATTTACTTCTCTTACAACCCCATCTATAAATATATTAAACAACCACGGTGACATCACACATCCTTGTCTAAGGCCTACTTTTACTGGGAAAAAATTTCCCTCTTTCCTACATACTCTAACTTCAGCCTCACTATCCTCGTAAAAACTCTTCACTGCTTTCAGTAACCTACCTCTACACCATACACTTGCAACATCTGCCACATTGCCCCCTATCACCCTGTCATACGCCTTTTCCAAATCCATAAATGCCACAAAGACCTCTTTAACCTTATCTAAATACTGTTCACTTATATGTTTCACTGTAAACACCTGGTCCACACACCCCCTACCTTTCCTAAAGCCTCCTTGTTCATCTGCTATCCTATTCTCCGTCTTACTCTTAATTCTTTCAATTATAACTCTACCATACACTTTACCAGGTATACTCAACAGACTTATCCCCCTATAATTTTTGCACTCTCTTTTATCCCCTTTGCCTTTATACAAAGGAACTATGCATGCTGTCTGCCAATCCCTAGGTACCTTACCCTCTTCCATACATTTATTAAATAATTGCACCAACCACTCCAAAACTATATCCCCACCTGCTTTAACATTTCTATCTTTATCCCATCAATCCCGGCTGCCTTACCCCCTTTCATTTTACCTACTGCCTCACGAACTTCCCCCACACTCACAACTTGGTCTTCCTCACTCCTACAAGATGTTATTCCTCCTTGCCCTATACACAAAATCACAGCTTCCCTATCTTCATCAACATTTAACAATTCCTCAAAATATTCCCTCCATCTTCCCAATACCTGTAACTCTCCATTTAATAACTCTCCTCTCCTATTTTTAACTGACAAATCCATTTGTTCTCTAGGCTTTCTTAACTTGTTAATCTCACTCCAAAACTTTTTCTTATTTTCAACAAAATTTGTTGATAACATCTCACCCACTCTCTCATTTGCTCTCTTTTTACATTGCTTCACCACTCTCTTAACCTTTCTCTTTTTCTCCATATACTCTTCCCTCCTTGCATCACTTCTACTTTGTAAAAACTTCTCATATGCTAACTACTCTCTTTACATCATCATTCCACCAATCGCTCCTCTTCCCTCCTGCACCCACTTTCCTGTAACCACAAACTTCTGCTGAACACTCTAACACTACATTTTTAAACCTAGCCCATACCTCTTCGACCCCATTGCCTATGCTCTCATTAGCCCATCTATCCTCCAATAGCTGTTTATATCTTACCCTAACTGCCTCCTCTTTTAGTTTATAAACCTTCACCTCTCTCTTCCCTGATGCTTCTATTCTCCTTGTATCCCATCTACCTTTTACTCTCAGTGTAGCTACAACTAGAAAGTGATCTGATATATCTGTGGCCCCTCTATAAACATGTACATCCTGAAGTCTACTCAACAGTCTTTTATCTACCAATACATAATCCAACAAACTACTGTCATTTTGCCCTACATCATATCTTGTATACTTATTTATTCCTCTTTTTCTTAAAATATGTATTACCTATAACTAAACCCCTTTCTATACAAAGTTCAATCAAAGGGCTCCATTATCATTTACACCTGGCACCCCAAACTTACCTACCACACCCTCTCTAAAAGTTTCTCCTACTTTAGCATTCAGGTCCCCTACCACAATTACTCTCTCACTTGGTTCAAAGGCTCCTATACATTCACTTAACATCTCCCAAAATCTCTCTCTCTCCTCTGCATTCCTCTCTTCTCCAGTTGCATACACGCTTATTATGACCCACTTCTCGCATCCAACCTTTACTTTAATCCACATAATTCTTGAATTTACACATTCATATTCTCTTTTTCCTTCCATAACTGATCATTTAACATTACTGCTACCCCTTCCTTTCCTCTAGCTCTCTCAGATACTCCAGATTTAATCCCATTTATTTCCCCCCACCGAAACTCTCCTACCCCTTCAGCTTTGTTTCGGCTTAGGGCCAGGTACATCCAGCTTTTTTCACTTATAACATCAGCAATCATCAGTTCTTGTCATACGCACCTACTTCCCACGCACAATTAAGCATCCCAGTTTTATAAAATTTATTTTCTTCTATTTTTTAGAGTAAAGAGTATACAGGAGAGAAGGGGTTACTAGGGGTAATATCTATATATTATATATAGATCTATATATTATATATCCTCCATGGGGAGTGGAACAGAATTCTTCCTCCGTAAGCCATGGTGTTGTTGTAAGAGGCGAACTTAAAAATGCCTGGGAGCAAGGGGGCTAGTAAACCCCTTTCTCCTGTATTTATTACTAAATTTAAAAAGAGAAACTTTAGTTTTTTTCTTTTGAGCCACCCTGCCCTCGTGGTGGGATTCGGCCTGGTATGTTGAAAGAAAGAAGAAGATATCATATAGATTGATTTATATATCTATATATATATAGATATAT